GGCAGGATATTGGAGGGGTTCACCGAGATTCGGATCGACGCCTAAAGTCCTGCTTGCCACCTTAGTCGGATACATAGCAGGAAAGTTCTCGTACCGGGACAAGTGCGCAGAAATGATAATGGAGCTACCCAACAGTCGCTTAGCAGAAACTCTCCGCCGTAACCAACAAAATGCCGGACGCCCTCCCATCCCAAATGAAGAGTTGGTACCTTTTTCTGTCTTTCGTTCATCTCGTATTGTTTTCTGGGATAGTTTTTGACAGTGTAATGGAAAGACTTTCTAACCCAATATTTCATTTTTGAAGATTGTCTGTTCCGGTTTACTCCGAACCAACGTCCGAGCAGATCGCGAGTCGCAGAGCTCGAGATGGGTCAGTGCGTGACTTGGACGATTATCGTAAACCGGATTTGGACTGTAAGTTGTTTTTCATTTTTCCCTTTCTCCAAAGAGTGAACAAATCTGAATCAGTGTACCGCAGTACAGTACCTGATTTTGATTTGCAGTAATGTTCTCTTGGTGCCAATTCAAGTGTCAGTAGTTGTTTTAGAATGTTCAAGGGAATACATTCAAAAGTCTTGTAGACGTTTGGCATTTACAGATTGATGGAGGCGAGTTCATGTGATTCAATTAAAAATAATTGCATGATGTAAAGAAGGAACAGCCGTAATTCAGCGCGTTCAAGTAATTAAAAGGTTATTTTGGAAAGAGGATCCAGGTGCATCTTGAGAGCGTTTAAAACTGATCTACTCTCATTCTGTTGTATTTCTGAAGTGAGTTCATTCTGCTCTCCTTTGTGTATGTATGCCTTCCGGCAATTTTATTGTGCTTGGATTGCTTGAGTGAGCATCAGAAGTGTTTGGTTAGGTGTTTGATCTTGATTGTTGGGTGTTACACTCAGTCAGTAAGGCATGAAGCTTGATCAGTCGGGTCAGGTAGATTTACTTGACTTGTATAATTGATTAGGGTAGTTAGATTACTGTAGTTGGTTTCAATGCTCTCAATTATTCTTAGATATGTCTTCTTTGGTATTGCAAACCATTTCAGGATGTGATCCACTCAGACGGAATGGGTACGGTTTTGTTGTTTTCTTGTTCATGTTTAAAAATGGTCTGTTTTTTTTTGTGACAATTTGGTTAGTTGAGCAGAATAGCAAGGTAATCGCTTGCGTACCATCACGACACCAATTTTTGGAATTTCTGATGCGGGAAATCTCTAGAATATTTGCTGCCATCTTCGAAAGTTCCTCGTGATGTGAAACCCCGTACCTATTTTTTTCTTTCTTTTCTTTTCAGTGAGTTCATTTCAGGAACGACCACCGGAAGCGTCAATGATGAAAGAAGAGGAAAACCAGAGCAAAGATGTTCAAGGCTTATCGTATGATGAACTTCGTAGGAGAAATCGATCTGAATTCGAAACGAAGAAGTACGAGCAGATGAAGCGTGATGTAACGGGTCCACTTGCATCTTCAGCAGCTCCTGATCCGGAGAAGCCAAAGAAGGGTCGTACTACAAATGCTTACGGTGATGAGTGGGAAAAGTGAGGTAGATTGCAGCTGAATCACCTGCAGTGTTCCCTCTAGTGAGCCCCATTTGTCGATTCTGTTTGTGATTTTTGACTCCCTATCCAAGGGTTTTCTCTTTAATTGGAGTCAAGATGATCTATGAGTGGTGAATGAAATCGTTCGTGCGTTGTTGAGAAGCGTTCCTGTTACTACGCTGTTAGTGAGATATAGTTGAGGATGCTCAAGAAAAAGTTTTGCTCTCTCATTTCTCGATGACTTGAAAAACGATCCTCGTTCAACCTTTGGTGTTTTTTTCCTGTAAGAGGATTTTGATTGTGTTCGCATGATCCTATACAGTTATATCAGTTTTCAAGAGCATGAAATCATATTATAGACAATGTGTGCAGGCGTAACAGTCGTATCACCGTCAGAATGAGGTTTGTCTTCGGTTTTTGCCTACAAGGATCGTTATTTCAAATGACAGCCCTTTCAAACACTTTTATTTCTTCCCTGATACTGAGAAGGTACCGTAGAAAATGATCCCTCAAAAATGTTGATCGTGGTCACTTTTTTGTATGTGCAAGAAATATTCAATGCACTGTCAATCTTTTTTCACACATTCAGATAATCTATTCTTGTAAATAATGAATGGGTTGTTTTGAACCGACTTCCACGAAGAATTGAGTAACTCCTTGCTCCTTCAAGATTAATCTCCTAAATGCGTGAAGTCCAGGAAATAACATCTGGAAAAAAATCTCTCTCCCTTTGGGACATTGTACTGTATATATTTTTGATAGCAGCCTAATTTCTCTTTGACACTGCGAAAAGCCTCTTTTGCTTTCAAAAATGTGATGAAATTGTATTGTTGCCTGTCAAATTAGCTCATTGCCTCAGGCTTCCCAATTTTTTCTTAGTTTGAAATTTTTGTGTTCAATACGAGCCGTAAAGATTTTGGCGTGCACTGATCCATGGCACTGTGAACTATTACAGTACCAGCATTTTCAATACTGTATCTATAATTACTTTGAGATGGTATTCATTTTTCTCACGAGGGAAATCGGTGGACAGACTTCTTGCCGGAGCTCACATGTGAGCTGCCTAAATGTGAGCTAGTGCGACCCCCCCAGCCCCTCACTCCCTCAACCCATCACTCTCTCTTTTAAGCAAACTCATGAGAGACTTCAGAAAGTCTGTTTCAATTGATATAAGCAGTGTATCAGGACAACTACTATTCCTTTGACTCCTCAAATTTGGTGTGAATTGAATTGTTCTTCAAAATTTCAATTACTTTTTGTTTTAATCATCCTTATTGGTTTACTCAAGGTATGCTTTTCATTGAAAATGTCTCCAATTATACAATTAAAATGTATGCTAGGGGAAATTATTTGAATTGAAGTGTGAATAGGTTATATTATATTTATTTGTCTTTATTCTCAATGCTGCTCATTGTATGCCTGCTGGATCTTCCAGATTATTCTAACCATTCCAAATTCTATTTTTTTTATTTACTTTTACTAAATACCTTCTGCAGTTTTCTAAATATCATTTTTTGTTGTAAAATATTCAAAATTATTATTCATTCAAAATTTATTGAGTTCATAATTCATTCAAAATGTATTGAGTTTTTAATTCATTCAAAATGTATATTGAGTTCATAATTAGTTCCAAATGCAGTATGTTCTTGATGTATGATAACTTGATTAATTGATTCAATGTTTTCAAATATTCATTTTTCCAAAAAATATTATTGAATTGATTGTTTTAAAATGGGTTGAATCTGGGCATTCAAAAATTGGGAATTAAATGGACATTGTTGATATAGAAGGGCTTCATTGCCTAAAGATTGGGGTGCCCTGATGCTATGCATGTACAGTACTTTGCTGGATTAATCTATGCATAAAATACACAGCCACAATTCTTGTACAGCATGAAGAGTACTTACCATATTGTAAACAAGTTTTCATCAGAAAGGAGAACTTAGACTCCTCATTTCAAAATGATAAGTGTCCTCTATTTATACCAAAATGAGAAAAGCTTTCCCCCTCAGGAAAATATTTGTCAAAGTTGCTGTCATGGCACCAGTTATATAGGTGTAAATAAAGCATATGCTGTACAACTTTTTCTAAAATAATTCAGTTTTATTTATACCAAAATGAGAAAAGCTTTCCCCCTCAGGAAGATATTTGTCAAAGTTGCTGTCATGGCACCAGTTATATAGGAGTAAATAAAGCATATGCTGTACAACTTTTTCTAAAATGATTCAGTTTAATTTAGTTCAAAAATTCTGTATGAGTTCACTTTGAAATTTATAAGGCACTAAGCAAGTGTAAGAATAATTTTGAGATTTACATTAGGTGCTTCACAAATGCTTACAAAGCATTATGCACATCCAAAATATATGTAGATTTATATTTGGTGCCTTGCCAACAATTAGCAAGTACTGTATATAAATAATTTTGAAATTTAAATTCCATGCATCAGAAATGTTTTGGATGCATGCAAGAAGGTATAGAAATAATTTTGAAATTTAAATTCCATGTGTCCCACACATTTGGGGATGCATGCAGAAAGTGCAGGGATTCACATTGCATGCGTCCCACACATTTGGGGACGCATGCAGAAAGTGCAGGGATTCACATTGCATGCGTCCCACACATTTGGGGACACATGCAGAAAGTGCAGGGATTCACATTGCATGCGTCCCAGACATTTGGGACGCATGCAATGTGAATTTCTGAGTGTATCCCAAAAGCAGGTATATTAGTAATTTTGAAATTTATCTTCTATGCTTCACACATTTTCAGGAATTACCTCAAGAAGCAAGTATATAATTGAATTGCAAATACCGTATATTGTTATTGGCATATCACCAATTTTGGTGGTGGTTTTACTAATGTTTCAAAAAGACAGTATCTACCACATTATTCCCACTGTTGCATATTTTCCACTTTTTTCTGAAAACTGATGCAATCTTTCTGTGCTTTATGAAAAAGTTAGAAGATACTGAATTGTAAAGTTTGAAAATTTTGGAAAATGTTTCCAACTTTTTATTTGGAATATTTTATGGAAGACCCTGTTCATTTTTTCCCCTGAACTGGGAAGGGTAATTGTTTCTTAAACAGAGGGGGAGTGGGCTACTCCATCCCCTAATTTTTCTGTTTTTTTCCATCCTTGTATCAAATATGCCCCCAGATTGTGTATCAACAATCCACCACCCTGGCCCTGCACCCAAGGCAAAAAAAGGGTCACCGTGAAAATCCAATCTATCAATGTCACTGGCCTCAGGAAAAGGCTTTGACTGGTCGGCGCCTAATGAAACAAATGAAAAAAATGAATGCTGTGCTGAACAGGACGCTGTCTGGCAGACGCTGTCTATGGGACGCTGTCTGGCACCACAATTGAATGCACTGTAAATTCATTCATTCCTTATAGCACCAAAATTTCTCTAAATTGCCACATGCCATGCTTTAATGACACCCTGTAATCTGTTCTTGGGGATTCCTGTCTTTTTACTTTTCTTTTAAAATTTCGTATGGTGGGCTAGACTTTGTTACGCAGCATTTTTGCGTGATTTGATTTTTCTGCAGCCTTCCTAGCAGATTTGTGGGTGATTCCTGTTTGGAAACTTAAATAGGATCTGTTTTGGCCTCACATAATATACAGTACTGTAATTATCAAAGGGGATTCTTCTGAGGTACACTGACAGATACAGGTTTTTTGGGATTTTTTGTTCCTTCCAGATTTTCAGCCCTGCCCAATTATTGGCCCCAAATTATGGGCTTTCTGATTTTCAGGATATTTTCTCC